AATGATGTGAAAATACATTTTAAGCTGGAGAATTGGATTTTTTTAAAAGCTCTCCAAATGAAATTTTTAATAATATTTAATTAATAATTAAACTTAGATATATAGACATAACATATATAACTACCTTTTCTTACTTACTTTTTATACCCCGAACCTATTGTAAGTGTGAAATTTGCAGTATAGCTCCAAGTATTGAATACACAAGCTTCGTAATCTTAGAATTTTAGATACCACGCCCACTTCGTCATAAAATTTCTTTATTTTACTATAAAATAACCCATTTGCTATACATTCAAATATAATATAATAATAAAGTACAGGGTATTCCCATATATGGGTATAGATACGCTGCATCATTGAAGGCAATCTGGAATAAAAGCTCTAAATAATGACCTCTGTGGCAGCTTATAATATAGATATATATAGCATAGATTTTTATGTAGCTAAAGCTAATACAGCTTGTATTACTCGACCTTATATAAATAATTGTAATAAAAAATTTTTAAATAGTATATTTTACTAAGCGAAACCTTTTCAAATAAATGCAAAACTACTGAAGTTGAAAATTTTAAATATGAAAAAATATAGCCATATAAGTCTTCAAAAATGTTAGCATTTTTTTAAGGAATAAATAAATGATTCCCAATGTATATATTTTATAATATTAAAGGTATCTTAATAAATACAAAAAAAAAAAAAAATTACTATTTAAGGTATTATCTTAGGTGCTATGGAAACTGTAGATTGGAATATACACATACATACATACATACATGTAATATCTACTGACATTTACTGTATTTTCTACAACATGCAAAAATAATTCTTTGGGCGTGACAAGTCGGGAAATAGTATTTTCTTTTATTTATAATATATTTATGCACGCTTTGTTAGGAAGAAAAAATTATATAATAGCTATATCTTTCACAGTCAATATATGAAGTTAGCAACATTGGCATTGCAAATTTTCCTTATAGGCTACCCCATTAATCAATCACCTTGACGCTTGGCATCTTTTTGGCTCTTACTGAATCGCTAAGATTTCGGCTTGTAATTTATTTAATTCACTTTAAGATTTTTTTTTTTGTATTAAAAAACGCTAATTTTTAATGTTTTTATTAATACATTATTAAAGCCTATAGACTCGTAAAAATCATGTTTTCTATTGAGATCATTCTAATACAATCTAATACTGATAATATTAAAAACACCAGCTAATTACTATTGCAATTCAATTTAAAGGCACTTGCTATGCTTTCGTATATACTTACGTTAAGTACACTTAATAAACAGTATCAAAATCCCGTATACGACACGTTATCACACGTTAAATGCTGAATGCATAAAACTTTCACTTTAGGTTTTCAGCAAATTAAATACAGATTTTGCAAACATTTTGCGTAAAATACTATTTGTTCCATTTCAAATGGATATTACTTTTGGATACTGCAAATTCTACTTAAGCTACTTAATTTATATATATTCTCCTATAACTATAGCTAATTCCTAGCTAACTGTTATTTGCTGAACTGCTCACGACGCTCGATGAGCTCTCACTGAACTATTTGCCGTGTGAGAGGCTTCACATAAGTAGTCGATAGCTAGTTAGTAGAATCTCACAATGCTTATTATTAGTTGAAAGTTCAGTGTAGCTGCGGGAGCAGCACACGCGATTGCAATTTACTCTTTACGAATCTTAAATAATTCAAAATATTTATCGGAGAAATTCACTGAAACATTATTAATTTGCTGGGGTAATGTCAAACGAGTTCCATAGTTCGATTCGGATATTATATTCACCTTTACTGTTTAGCATATTTCCCACCAGTTTCTTTGTTTTTATTACAAGTTCTTATCTAGGAACCTGTGAAGGTACATTTTTATTCCTCTGTACAAAATTGTATTTCATAAATTAACTACTTATTTCATACATCTTTATATAATATTGTAGATGTGCTGCTATATCAAATATGGACTATACCCTTTCGACACACTTGCATCATGTCACGAGCTCAAAAATGAGCGAGATCTAGAGGGAACGATGTTTTATATAATATGTGACAAATTAAATTTGTAAATATTTAAAAATGGTAATAAAAATCTTTTTATGAACAAATTAACATATTTCATTCAATTGTATTGACCAATCTTTGTATACTCAGCAAATATTTATAGAACATTGGAGCAATGGGTCAACATGATGTGGTTTGCATATCATTTACTAACAGATGTCAATTGGGTTTTTGTTTTTCGTATAAGCTAAGCGCATTGAAAAAGTTATTAAAATATATATATTAGAGCAAAAGCTGAAATCAATAATATATACCTCAAATTTATTTATATAAATTTGAGTCTTTTAACTATGAAAAAAAAAATCCAAGAAGAAATTTTTTTAAATTTACATATTTATTTTATTTTATTTAGTATATACATGAAAATGGTGAGGAATATTAGAGTAATATTTTGTGCCTGTTTTATGATTATGGTTATATTAGAGGAATTCAAGGAATTTTTTTGTTTTTTCAATATATCTAAATATACATATATTTTTTTTATGATTTAAAAATCTTAACTTTTAGAAAAATTAAGAAAATAATTAAATCAATATTTTTGTTTATTTATCTCATATCACCATTATTTTATCTACATTTGTCATGCTAGTTTCGTAATTTTATTTCCACCCATACACAGTCTCCTTAGCTTTATCTGCCACCTCTTCAGCATAACGCATATTCCTAAACATTCGACCAAAGAGCAGCTCGGGTGCATCCACGCCCCACAGGAAGTCCAAATGATTGAAGCTGGGAAGGTCTACCAGATAACTCTCAACCACATTGGGCAAAGCGAAATAGAGTCTGGTGACATCTTCGGGCTGGCCCAACAAATCATTTTGGCTATGATATAAGATTACCTGGGCCGTCACACTGCTCAAATTGTATTTGGGCGGTTTGAGGCTCGAATAACGCTTTCTATTCTGCAAAAGGCCAAAGTCAAACTGTTGGAACTCATCCGATGATCTGAACTGAATATAATGCAATATCTGTCTGCTAGAAGCACCGGCTGGAGTATGCCCAAGTACCACTGGCAACATAGTTTCATTCGTTTGGGTCGGACTGTAGCCCGCGAATTGAAAGAGCGTATTCTTGCAGATCTTCAGGCTAATGCGAGTGGCATCGCATAATACTCGTGAAAACATAGTCAGGAAGTCGTCGGATGGTAAGAATTCATCTGGACCCGTCATTCGCAGGAACTGAAGAAAATTAAATTGAGATCAAGTTGCAAGAAATACATGCATATAATAAATTGACTTACAGTTGCGGTTAAGTCAGCTGCGCCTAGGATTACCACGGGCGGACTTTTGCAATTCTGGAAGAACACAATGGGCGCCAAGGCCTGCATGAGAAAGATCTTCTTCATATACTCGGGTCGTTCGCTGCCCAAAATAAAGAACGAAGTTGTGCCTTGAGAATGGCCAATGTAGTGCAGGCTCGTGTGGTTGGTCTCATGCAGCACATAGTCAATGCTGGCTGGTAGATCGAAGACAGCCAATTCATGGAATGAGAAATCCCAAAATTCCGACTGTTTTTCATTGAATCTGACATGATTCTTGGAATATGTATTGCCACGCGAATTACCCATCCAGACATCGTAGCCCTGATCGTAAAGTAAATAACCTGCATACAGGTAGAGGGAGAGAGTGAGAGAAAKAGAGAGAGAGCGATCGTTAGTATTTTTACCCAATCCATTTTTGGGGCCCATCAATATAAAAGCTGCGGAGCTACACAATAGGCCATGCATTAAGAAAACAGGCCTGCTTCCGGGCCTTGGTATCCTATGCATTTCGAGTATATAACCATCATCAGTGTTAACGATATGCTCTTCTGCCGGGTAGCCATATTTTTGAAGCAGACCCATCTGTGGGAATTAGATTGGCATAAAAGGACTTGATGAGTGGTGATTAAACAAAAGAAAAATGTATATGAATCCATAATATTACCGTGGACAGATTAGCATCATCTTCAACAGATTGAGAAACTTGAAAGGTAGCGCCCAAACAGAGCAATATAAGTAGGACAATCCATTGAATCATGTTGTGAACGCAATTGTGTCTAAAATATACAATATAAATATATGAGATTATATTTGTTTTTATTCTTAACGCAAATTTAAATATATATTAACCCATAGAAAACGGCCGTTCGGGGTTAATGCTTTTTAGGGCTATGAATATTAACCTAGAAGTATAGCTTTTCAGGAGATAGAAGTAGACGTAGAGTATATATCTTCTTAAACAGCATGAGGATATTCTCTCTCGCTCGCTTGCGCTATCTCTCTCTCACTCTCTCTCTTTCTTTCTCTCACTGCCTATTTTGCATTTGTTAAAAATAGGCTGATTACGTTTCACACATGGCTGTTTCTGCAGTACCACTCAAGTTTGATCCGTGAAGGGTATTGAGAGAATATCACTCTCATACATTAAAGAATCCTTGGCTATATCCTTAAGGTATCTGAAGTATATTCCACTTTTTGCACTGGTATCCAAACGTTTTACCTTTATCACAGCAGCTCAGGAACACTCCAAATTTTGTATTCCACTGAGTCAAATTTGTGAAAATCAAGCTCTTATATAGCAACTGCCCGATTCGATGCACTTACAAATAATATATTTTTATTATTCAAAATTTGAATTTCTCCATATTCATACGACAATAAATTTTTTTTAATAGTCTACAAAAATATTATCTGTGAATTAAATTTTGAGCTGCCTCTAAAGTCGTAATATATAAGACAGTGTACCTAGTCTTTAACTTCAATTTGAGCTTTAAACTTGGTCCCAATGGTATTGTTACTAATAAATATTTAAATAAATAAATAGAAATTACAAATGAATAATATAACAAAAGTAAAAATAAAAGGAAAGCCGAAATCAATATGTGTTTAAAATATATATTTATTATTTTTATTTTTTTTATTATTATTTCTGGTCACTATATATTTAAATATATTCTTGAATTTGTTTAAAGTTTTAATGGAGTTAGCGATTTTTAAGGTACAACACACTAAGTACATAGAATAAATTTTTTGAATAATTATATATAGTAAGGTAGTGGAATAGAAAATTCCCCCTGAGAACAATTTATTGACTTGTAAAAATTGAATACATTTTGGTCTTCACATTAATTTGTAGCCATCTTTGACGCATAAATAATATTTTACCATTAAAAGAAGGTTAATTTTACAATATGCTGAACTTTATAGATTTTATTTTAGCTTGTGTGTTGACTTTTGTTTCTAAAATTAAATGGATATACTACATATTCCATTCTGAAGCTTCAGAAATGTTTAAAGTTCCTATTCATTCGTATATAATATGTTATGCCTCCTTCAATAATGATCTCGATAAACTGTAAACCCATGTACTTCGAAGAATTATTAATTTTGTTTCGATTATAAAAGATATATATTTAATCATATTAAAATAGTTATCCATTGGCTTTTTATCTACATATATGTTGTGTTCTGTAAAATATATAGTAAATATATAAACACTTTTTTAGTAAAAAATTAAATGATTCAGAGTTATAGAATGTTAGGTCACTTGAAGCAAATGTTCAGACTTGGTCGATAAGTACTTTAAATTTTATAATATGATTGTTTAAAAGAAGCCCTAAATTATGCTATATTTCTAGATCGTCAGCTTAACGGCTGACAACCATATGGCAACGCGCTAACTGATCGTTTGAAACTTTAATGGAGGTAAATTTAAAATTTTTTATGTACAAATTCTTTTACTAGAATTTATGTAATTTTGGTAGCTGCCTAGAGTAAAAAGGTTAGTCACATTTTAATATAATGCTCAAATATTTTACCCACAGATCAGATAAATAGTGAGCTCCTTGAAAATTGTATGTCACTAACTTTAAGGCTGGGGATATTATAAATAGCTTTCGCTATTTTTCTGAATACTACTGTATACACATAGTTACTTACATATGTATATACATATATCAACATTTATAAAACCAACAACAAATAAGTATTTACACAACTAAATTAATTACTATTTATTATAGAGCGTATAAAACTTGATAAGCTAAACTACTTCCCAGTTATTCTAATAATAGTAAGAGCTTATTTGAATAAGATGTAGGTCGATTTACATTAAAAGCTTGTCCTCTTCTAAAGCTATACAACACGTAAATACTAATGTTTACACTAAGCTTTAATCGATTAATAAATATTTAATATATGTACAACAAATAATGGCCAATAGCTATTGTATTGTGCTCATACTGTAAGTATATATAGGACTCGTACTAAATCGATATTAATTTTAGTTCTTATATTATCAATTTGTCGTATCTATATTATTATCTATTTCATTTGCGCGCATTTGCTTCAGCATAGAATCCCACAGCAGCTCGCGGGCATCGACGCCCCAGATAAAGTCGAGATGATTGAACTCGGGATAGTCCACCAAATAATGATGGACTACATTGGGCAGCCGGCGGCGCAGCGATTGCACATCCGCTGGCTGGGCCAGCCAATCGTTTTGGCTGTAGTACAGGGCCACCTTGGCCTTGACATTCTCCAACTTGTATGCAGGTGGGGTGATGTTGTTGTAGCGCCAATGATTCCTCAGCCAGCCGTAGTCGAACTGCCGGAATTCACCGGATCTGCGCACCTGGCCAAAGTGCTGCATCTGCTTGGTGGAAGCGCCAGCCGGAGCATGGCCGACCACAACGGGCAACATTGTCTCATTCAGCTGCAGCTTGTCAAAGCCGGTGGTCAGGAAGATCACATTGGAGCAGATCTCTTTGGTTATGGTTGTCTCATCGCAGATCAGCTGATTGAACATCACAATGAACTCGTTTTTGGGCAAAAACTCATGAACACCAATCAGCCGGAGAACAAACTGTAACGAATGCGAAAAATCACTATAAGCAACCGCAATGAGAATCGCGGAGAACAACTTACGCTCACCGACGTATGAAACTCGGCCAGGAAATTGACGACCGGACTCTTGCAGTGCTTTAGGTAGGCAACTGGCGCCAGAGCCTGCATAAAGAGAATCTTGTCCATATACTCGGGTTTCTCGCTGCCCATGATCCAGAAGACAACGGTGCCCTGAGAGTGGCCGATGTAATGCAATTGCTTAAAGCTCGTCGTATCCAGTATATAATCGATTGTCTTGGGTATATCGTACACGCCCATTTCATGGAATGTGAAGTCCCAGTACTTGGCTTGCGAATGTGTGTACTTCACATGCTTCCTGGAATACGTATTGCCGCGCACATTGGCCATCCAGACATCATAGCCCTGCTCATATAGCAAATAACCTGAAGAACGCGATAGATTAGATACAACTGGGCATTCAGTATTGTACAGCATAATATATACCTAGACCCTTGTTGGGACCCATCATCACCCAGGTGGCTGAGCTATCCAAAAGTCCATGAACTAGCAGAACTGGCGTTGCTCCATGGCGGGCAATGCGATGCAGTGTTAAAATATAACCATCATCAGTTGTCACACTGTGATTCTCAGCCGGATAGCCATATTTCTTAATAAGATTATACTGTAAGGGGAGCGAAAAGAAGTGGATAAATTAATTTTAAAGCTTCAACTTCAATTTTTAGTTACTGAAATGAAAATTATAAATATTTAAAATAAAAAATTCTTTTTAATTTATTACCGAATTTCTATAATTCCTAAGTTTGGAAATTTTTATTTTAATATAATATT